TTGCAGAGCTAGTTAGCATGAATGATGTCCAACGGCCCTTTGTTCTGTACTTCTGTGTTTTCATGCAAACCTCATGGGTTCTTAGCATGAACGCTGACCCTTCTCCCTGACCCCATGATGTCCCTTATGGCAGCCCTAGGAAGTTATTACAAATTAAGTATCTGGATGCTGGAATTGATGGACAGGAAAGGGGCTCCTAATGCTCAGAGGAATGAGTGTGGGATGCGTGTTTTTGTTGTTGTTTTAAAGTAGCATTTTGTGTCAGGTGTCCTCTTTCTGTCCTGCCCTTAGCTGTGTCCTTCTGGTCTCCATGGAAACCCCAAATCAATGCAGCATATGTTGATTCAGGGTTCTACTGTTACCGGGAAGCAGAGCAGTGGAAATTGCTTTTAAAAGATTTGTGGAAGGGCTTGAGCACGCTGACCAGAATTCAAATCTGATATCCAAATGACTTTTTATTAAAAGATTTGACTGTGGTGCTATCCTAGGTGGTATGTTGATTAAATAAATACACAGGGGATATTTGGCAATAAAGCTCTTCTATCATAGCTTTTTAAAATATTATAGTGCAGATTTTAATTCCTTTTATCTTCAATTTAATTATATTCTCCAGCCTGTGTGGCAATGCCAGGTGCCCCCTTTGCTTCTGATTAATTCTACCCTGCACAGATAGGGCTGTTGAGACAGTTTATAAAAGCCCTCTGTACCTGTGCTACTGTCCCCTAAAGCTATTAGCACTCTGTGGGCTTCCATCCTGAGCAGGGGACTGCAGAAGTTTTAACACATTTTGGCTATAAGGAAGGCTTAGTTATTTTTCTTCCCCACACCCCAAGCCCCCAAGAACTGAAAGCAAGGGCTGGCAAGATGTCACTCGTCACCAACCTTGATGACCTGAGTTTGATTCCTGGGACCCACATGGTGAAAGAAAAGAACTAACTCCTCCACGCATGTGCTGTGGTATGTGCATACCACTTCCCCCTGAATAAGTAAATAAAATTGAAAATTTTAGACTAACTCATAAATGAGAGTTAGCCAGAGTATAAACACCTACTCTGTACGAAACGATGAGAGTTGGGAGCAAAGAGAGTCAGTCACAGAGGCTGTCTTTCTGGAGTGGAAATCAATTTAGGAGGATTGGAAGCCACAAACGAAATGGATCAACTAGACTGTGATTCAGGCTGTCAAAAGCAAACAGCAAGGTGGCGGGACCGGGATAGAGCAGCTCCTCTAATTGAAGTCCTTCTGAAGAGCTCAGGAGGAGAGCTTTGAGCTCAGAGGTAAAGGGACTGGCAAAGGAGCTGGGAGTTAAGATGCAGATGCAGGGTGGGCTTATCCGAACAGAGGGAGCAGGTGCATGGGCGTGTATGTATGTATTTGAGAGAGCAATAAAACAGGACCAGCTTATTGTTGGGCAAATAGAGGAGCTGCAATGGAGCCCATCAAAGATTATTATACAGATGATCTGCTTAGTGGGTAACTGAGGTTTGTGGAAGGGGGGAGTGGGGCAGGGAGATCTGTGCAGGGAGCTGAATAACCTCTGTGCCAACGGATGGGAGGGAAATGAAGCTAAGGAATAATTCAGAAACACAATGATCAGATTGAAACACCAATTTAGCAAGAGGAATGAAGAAGATGCCAGAAATATCTGCACTTGTTACCCCAGGGATGAGGATGCAGTGATGTCATGAGCAAACAGAGGGAGCCCTGCGGGAAGGGAGGGAGGGCTGAGAGCAAGGCTGCTGGGGGACACCTGGAGTCTGTGGACCTGAGGTTCATGGAACTGTCCAGCAGAGCCCTGTTGGTGCAGCTCTGATTTCACAGAGGTGCAGATGGGTCTGTCCTTGGAAAGATGGTTCCCTGGGGGCGCGGGGCGGGGGAGAAGAGGTACGGGGGAGGGAGAGACGGCGGGGGGAGGGGGAGGATCGGGGGTGCTTTAAGATGGGAAGAGCAGAGGGTTGCTGCATCGCCTATGGGGCTTCTCATCACAGCTTACATGGGAAAACCCAGAAGTTTGGGCCAGTTTTCAGCCAGGAAGTCGGGAGCAGTAGCCACAAAAGCTTGACTTTACCGGCCATGACCATAAGCCCGAGGGAACACTATACAATTCTTGTCCTTTCCTGCCTCATTCTTCCAGGGAAGAAACCCGTGGTAGAATGCACGACTCTGCCAGCTTCATGCTTACTCTGGAGATTTTGTTGTTGTTGAGTCTTAAGACAGGGTCTTTCTCTGTACCCAGGCTGACCTCCCCGGAGCTGAAATGATACCCCACTTCCCTCCGGAGCTCTTTACATGCCTGTCTGTTTGGAAGCTAACAGTGGAGTCCTCCCTTAGCCAGGACTGTACTAGGTTTGCCCTTCTCAGAGTGGGTATTCTATGGCTCCACACTAATGCCTGGAGTGTTTTGGTAGAAACTTTCAGACTAGTTTTTTCTTTCTTTTTTTTTTTTTTTTTTTTTGGTTTTTTGAGACAAGATTTCTCTGTATTGTTTTGGAGGTTGTCCTGGAACTTGCTCTGTAGACCAGGCTGGCCTCGAAACTCACAGAGATCCACCTGCCTCTGCCTCCCGAGTGCTGGGATTAAAGGCGTGAGCCACCAACACCCGGCCAGACTAGTTTTGACTGTCTTCTTTTCCAAAATTTCTCCATGCCTGTCTGTTCTTTCCAGTTTAAGCCCTTTCCCTAAAACTGTATTAGTTACAGTGTCTTTCCCAAAGCCTTCTTGAGACTGCATTATTTCTAAGGCTAATTGAAGGCACTGATATCTGGTCCATATTGATCAGCTTCTGCCCAGACTCAAGCTCGTCTGTAGCCTCACACCCATTCCCTGGTGTCTTTCCTCCCTGTGGATCAGACAGCACAAAACCCTGAGAAAACTTGTGCCCCATATTAGACCTAGTGGGGAAGAGTCGGTTGATGACATCACATTTGTCTAAGAGGAAGTGGCATGGCAGCACCAAATTAGACACCAGACACCAGCTCTGCCATTTCTAAGTGACTTGGGTCTGCTTTTCCACCTGAGAAAGGGGCTGATAAAAATGTTGAGTTTGTGGTGAGAATTAAACTAACTCAAATGTAATGCTCGGGGCAGTGTCTAGCACAAACAAAATGATCCTGAAACATTGGGTACCCCTGTCCCACCCCCAGCCTTAGGGTATAGACATGTCTTGGGTGAGAGAAGTATCCATGGAATTTTTAAGATCTAGAAAGTGAAAAATTCTCTTTCAGCTTAACCCTGAATTCTAGCTAGCATCATGTTTCAAGACGTCTCACTTGGTAATATGAAGGCACTTTTGCCTAACAGAGGGGTGCTACGGACATTATTGGAGAGACAGAGAGTGAGAATGAGAGAGAAAGAGAGACAGAGACAGACAGAGAGAGAGAGAGAGAGAGAGAGAGAGAGAGAGAGAGAGAGAGATTCTAGGATTCTAGGGGTAGCATCAGAATTTCTATTTCATTCTAGCACCAGGCAATGAATAATTACAGCACATTAATTTCACTGTCAGAACATGGGTCATGCACCAATGGATATGTTCAGAGATACCATGTCCCAGCATGACATAGGAGCCAAAGCTCCCCTGTTAGAGTCATAAGACACAAACTTTGCTTCTTGTGCTGCCACTGTGTACTGTATCATTTTTAAAAAATGCACTTTAGCCTCAGCTTCCTCTTCTGTGACATGGGGATAATAAACTTCCTGACTATAATATGTGGAATTGTTGAATGACAATACATGAAAATGTTTTATACTTGGCTTGTGAAGGCGGAGGCAGCTCAGGCTGTCCTTGAACTCCTGATCCTATTGCCTCAGCCTTGTGGGTGCTGTACCACCAGCCTGGTTTTGCTTTAAGCATTTAATAAGCTGGGTGGACCTGATGGCACAGGCCTATAATTCTTGCTATTCAGAAGGCTAAGATAGAAGGATAGCAGTTTCGAAGCCTGCCTGCGTTACAGAGTCAGGTTAAAGCCACCATAGGCAACTTAAGGAGATCTTGTCTGAAAAAGACAAAAAGGTAAGAAGAGGGCCTGGGAATATAACTTAGTGTAGAGCACTTGTATAGCATATGCAAGGCCCTTGGTTCAATTCCCATCATTGAACAACAACAAGTCAAATAAATGGAATTGATTACCTTTATTACACTACCTCCACTTTCTATGGAAATGTCTTCTAACTTCTGACTTGAGAAATAACTTGCCACAAAGGCTAGGTGTATTTGGAACTGGTTCCTGAATGGACATGGGAAAAGCCATAGTGACTGAGAGTAATGAAGAAGAGAAGGCAGGCTTTATCCCAGAGGAGTGTGCAAACTTCAGCATGTACTAGAATCCCCAGGCATGCTGGGTCCCACTGGTAGTTTCTGCCACCAAAGGTCTCTGCATGGGGCCTGAGCAGTGACTTGCCCACCACATTCCCAGGTGATGCTCAGACTGCCAGTCTGAGTACCACTTTCGGAGAACTAGGACAAACAGGAAGAATTTTCCTTCTGGAACAGAACAGGCAGCGTGGAGATCTATGTGGGTATAGAGGTTTGGAAATAATATTGAGGGGGAAAAAGAAACGTAGAGATGATGAGCAGTTCGGGCAGAACAAAGGAAAAAGTCTCACTCCATCACAAATGCAAGTTGGGAGGAAGTTGCTAGGTGATGGATGAGGAAAGAGAGTTGAGTTTCTACTGTAGGAAAAACCAGGTGAGAGGCAGGGGTTGGAAATCTGCACGTTCCAGAAGGCAGAGGAGGTGGGGATTTCTCATTAAGGAGTAGGGAGCGGTGTGGTTGGTCCTGGTGGGGTAGGGGGTGGGGGTGGGAATGGTCTAGGGGTTCCTCTGTCGAGTAAGGGGACAGCTGAGACTTGGCAGAGAGGGGTAATTTCAGGGTTGTGTGGTTTGGCTTGGGAGCGCAGTGCAATAGAATTGGGAGAAAGGGGGTGGAATTTAGATGTGCGACCTGCCCCGTAGCTTTCTTGCTCTCTGCATTTATCACATCACATCACACCCAGCAAGACAGGCCCCCTCCTCCTGGCTCATTAGGAGATTTGATTCGGCTTGGCTCCTGCTGTCAGCAGCTGTCTGGGGCAAGATCTTTATGCTCCCTGCTCCCCAGCGCAGCCACCAGCCTCCAGCCTCCAGCCCGCAGCAGAGCTCATTAGCAAAGAACCCTTTCCCGGATTTTCAGCTACTTGGTGGCCTGAAAAGAGTTAATACCTACTCTTGACTCGGGGGCAGAGCAGCTGCTGTGGGCTGGGGAGAGACTTCTCCCTGAGCTTCGGCCAAAGGAGCTGCAGGTTAGTGAGGCCGAAGGAGGAAGGTGCAGGATGCATGCCAGGTCAGCTCTGCTTGGGGGCATCTCCTGCATCCTGCCAATGAGGATGGGCGTGCAGACTGTGCCCAGGAGCTGAGCCGCCGCCTGCTGGGTGTAGGCTGCTTCAGTATTTACTGGATGTGACAAGCAGAGAGAAGAGCTTTTGGGGCCGCTTGCTGCCTGGCTCAAGTGGTGGGAGGTGTGTTGTACATGCATGCTTATGTATGTGTGTATGCATGCGTGAGCCTATGCTTCCCTGGAAACATGCCTTTCACCTGCCAAGGATTTCACTGCTAAAAGAAAGATCTGCTCTTTCCCTAGAGCTCCTTAACCCGCAACCTTTCTGACCATCCACTTGGCAAAGACCTGCAGGCCATGAGGACCGGTCAACGACAGTAAGTATTGGCTCTGCCTTTCTCCTTCCTTGCCGGGGTGTCGGAAAGCTGGTTGCGTTATACATATTTAATTAACCTGCCTCTTCATGCATATTGATTGCTTTCTCCCGCTGAGCTTAATTTTCTCTTTTCTTTATAAATCTTTTTCTTTTTTGCTCTTATGCTCCCCCTACCTTGAATGTCATCTTTTTCTACCCTGTCTGTTCCAGTCACTTGTGACTTGGTGCCCACTTCCAAGGGTACTATGGGGGTGGAGGGGAGTTGGGTCACACTGTTGAACTTTCCAGGCTCTGGGTAACTCCTTATCTGTCCCTTATAAGTCTGTCTAGAGCTAAACAGGCTCTGGATCCTGGAGTGGACAAGGCATCTGGGGCACAGTATCTATCCAGGGAGCTCTCATTTAGGGAATCCAAAGCTGACCTCACTCAAGGGGTGATTCTGGAAGTGTTGGGTGCTTGTGGGGGAGAGAGGCGACAACCGGATAGCACCAGCAAACCAATGTGGGCTGGCAGCAGGAAAGGGCAGCAGGAAGAGCCGCAAGCAGGGACAGAGCCCAGTGGTCCCCTGCCCTAAATGACCTTGCCTGTAGTGTATATGGGTAGCGATCTCTGGTCTGCTCAGCTGCAGTATAATAAGGGCCCCTGGCAAGACCTTCCCCCTGCCCTGGGGACAGATCTTTATAAGCAAGAGGAAATGAGGCGTAGGTGCCTAGACACGCTTTCTGGAGACCCTTAGAGCTGTAAAAGGCTTTGATGGCTGGGTTCTGGAAAGCAGGTGCACTCCCACTTAGGACAGTGATTAAGCAAATGTCCCCTGTTGTCAGGGAACATGACCCATTGGGATGAGCCTTTGTATAAAACCTGATTTTTTTTCTGTTTTCTTTTTGGAGTTAATAAAGCCCTCCTTCTATTTTGTTAACGATAGAATTGTTCTGAAAGTGATTTTGGAGACGTGTTTGTGAAATGTTCAGGGTAATACCAAGGCAATTTAAATGGTGCAGTCACACAGGATTCTTATCTATCTAAATTAGGTTTCTTTTAAAATGGATTCTACGTTTGGTGGCAGGGTTCCCCAAGGGAACCTTTTATGGATAGGTAGACAGCTCTTCCTATCAGCTTTCTTTTGTGGGAACAATGGACTGAAACACTGCCAATGACACCCATGGGAAGGAGAGGCTACAAGCCAATCAGCCTTCAGCCTCCATATCCCCAGCCTGCATCCCCAAGTCTTTACTGTGTTGGGTCAAGAATGGGCCAGGCAGAGGAAGGCTCCTTATGAGCTACAGCGAGTGACTTGCATATTCATTTCTGCAGCCTGTGCTTGGGATCCCTGCCAAGGAGCATGCCCAGTGGTGAGGGTGTCTGGTGGCTTACCTCCAAGTCCCTTCAGCCCCCCTCCCTGCTCCCTTTTTCTCAAGCCCTGGCTCATTTCCACCTGGGACAGGTGTCCTTGGAGGGAGGTTGGAACCAGAGCAGCATCCAATCAGATTATTTTGGAGCAAGTGCTGGCTGATCCTTCCGGAGTGGTCACTTGGGCATCAGTCTAGTAAGATAAAGAGAACAGCAATTTTTGGCTTGCCAGGCCAAAATTTGCCTCCCTAAGGGTGCATGTCCCCATTTTGATGGCCAGTGGTTGGGAAAGTAGGAACTTCTGACCATCAGTCAGCAATGTGAAGCCTCCTGATATTTGTTCTCGTCCTTCTTTGATTGGCTACCCTCGCTAAGAATAAGCTGACATTTGTGGGTGCTGTGGGGAAGTACTCGGATGGTGGCGAGCCTTTGGAATGGTGTGTCTTGTGAACAGACGTGAGAGGGTGAACCCTCTTACAGCAGACTCTTTGATTTTAGGTGAGAGGACGTGAGAGGGTAAATCCTTGAACCCCGCAGTCTTAGTTCCTGCCCTGACGTCCCTGCAAACCAGCCCAAGGGGTAACCATAAGCGGATGCCTGTATGGCTGCCTTACTGATGCCACGCAGGTAACGGATTGATGACCTGTCTTCCTGCCCCTGGCCCTGCCTTCTTTGCTCCACCTTCTGGTCTCTCACCTTTTCTGCTGTTTGAGCCCGGCACGACTGTCGAGCTCTAGGTGGTTCTCTTGCACTAGTTCTGCTGGGCCTCCAGTGAGCACCACACTGTTCTCGCCCGTGTGCTTCTTGCAAAGTTATAGGCTTGCAAGTAGGACCTGCCCGCTTGCCGACTTGGCAGAATCTCTTGGTGGTGTGTGTGCATGAACGTGTATGAAACTCTGTGAGTTGCTAGGACAGGGGTTTGTAGAGAAAAGGTAGATGAGGACATGGTCTTCCCCCTTTTTTCTCCTTCTCTGTCCTTCCTCTCTCCCTCCCTTCCTCTTAGCTTTCCATTCCTGCGTCTGCCGCCATTGTTTCCCACCTAACTAAGGAGATTGTGACTCAAGCCTTGACTAGAAAGATAGAAAACAGTTTTACCTCAAAGTAAATTTGCTTTTGTGAACTATTTGAACGACTAGGAGTTGTCTTGGGGGCAAACACTACCCTTTAAACTTGTGTACAAACGCTTGTGTGGATTTGCCACTTCTAGAGAGTCCTGTTTGCCGCTCTTGCGGGCAGTGACCTGACTGTTTTTATGACTGATGATCCTAAGGCACGGAGTGGGCTGCAGATTGGGGCCCGACCTCTGGTGCAGCCTGAGTGGGACCTCTGCCTGAATCCACAGTAGTGATGGCTGAAAGGGCATTTAGTCAGTTGCTTGAATGGCCTGGTGCTGGGTACCCTGTGATTTGTAAGAGTGAATGGACACATAAGATGCTATCGGTTTCAGGAGAGACTAACTAACTGTAGCAACTGTTTTTTAAAATGCCACGAAATAGATGGAGGCACAGTGAAGCCTGCCTGGGAAGAGAGGTAGGGGCAGGGTGATTTCCTGCAGAAGAGGATATTTCTAGAAACTAGGATGCTCCAGCTCTCAGGGGCTCCACAGAGATGTGCCTCGGAATACAAACGCCCTGCCAAGTACAATACCATCTCAGTAGACAAATGTCAGATAAGATTTCTGTGAACAAAGACAATGCAAAGGCCTGGGAATGGAAATCCATTTGAAGTCATTGGGAGTGATTGAATTGAACGACCTCTAACACCCTTATCTAGTTTTAGGATTTGTGAAAAAGAGGTCAAGGAAGCCCGGCCAGAAGGACTTGCTGTCAGCATGTGAGGATGGCATGTCGTAGGACTATTTCCATGGCAATATCTACCACAGCGCACATGGGAATTCCCTTTGTAAGCCAGATGCAAGTCCTGGTCTGATTATACCTTTTTTCCCTGTCCCCTTACTTTTGCCCTTCATGTGAGGAGCTGTCATGGTTAAAGGTCAAAGGTTAGCAAACTTCCGTTGTCATGAGCCTAAGAGCAAATATTTTCAGCTTTGCAGGCTGTATGGCCAATGTTGTAATCACCTAACTTAGCCCTTGAAGTTGAAGGCATCTTTAGACAATATGTGACAAGTGGCGGTGTTGTGTTCCTATAAAAGTGTGTACACAGACACCTCACAGGACTGTAGTATGCCAGCCCTTGGCTGAAGATAAACAGGAAAGATAAGCAAACCTAAGAACTGTCACAGTGGACACTGGCTCTCCCCTGTTGGCACCATCCATCGCTCTTCTCACTGCAGGCATCAATCCCTGTGGTTTATAGCCATCCATGCACATACAGCCTGTCTGTCTTGTTGAGTTGGGCAGAGAGAAGCTGATTGGGGACTGACCTCCCTTGGAGCCCCACACTGTGTGCTCTGACTCTCTCCCATGTTCACCCCTGCATTTGAGGCTCCCCTCTGCTCTGTGTGAGGGCCCTGCTGTCATGGCCTTGCAGTTTGGGGCTGCCGCCATCACCAGCCCCGCCTCTTTGCCCCTCTGTTGGGAAAGCAAGATGTGGATTGCTATTCTGTCACCACTGCGCTTCCACTCCCTACAGAGAACCCTAATTTAGAAACTCTCCCAAGCTAATGGCCTTCATTGGCTTACCATCAACATGCCGTGTCAGCTTTAAAAAGCCTTCAGCCTGGAAGGGCAGGGCAGAGGAAGGGCCCCACACCTATTATTATCATGCCCATAGTGAGATAAGGCATGAGCATAGCCCCCGCCTCTATTCTAGCTAATGGGCTCCTCAGGGGCCACCTGGGATGGGGGAGGGCAGCAGGCCCAGGTGCCCTTTATAGAGCTGGCAGTCGTGATCATGGTAGCCCCCTTCCTATTGCCTCCCTATCTGCTGCAGAAACAAAGGCATGAGGACTCGACTGGGGTGCCTGTCCCACAAATCGGACTCCTGTAGCGACTTCACGGCCATTCTTCCCGACAAACCCAACCGCGCTCTCAAGTGAGTAGTACGGCTGCCTTGCACGCCTGGGTACCCACACTGTGGGATGCCTATGGGACCTTCTTCCTCGGTGAGTTGTTGACCAGGCAAACCACAAGACAATACATGCAGGTCTCTTGGCTGCTCCTTTCCTACCCCTGCATGTGAGTGACAGGAAGTCATAGCTTGGTGACGTCAGGCAGAAACCATCCTTCTCCTAAGAAACAGCATGGCCATCAGTGCCTGAAGCTGTGGGTGGGGTAGTATACTTCTTTATTCTACTTACTCTTCAATCTGAGCTCTCAGTTTGCAAATAAACATCCAAAGTTACTCTAAAACTATGCTTAGATTCATATCGTCTGGTTTCAGTATCTATTCTGTGCTGACATTGTATTCAGTGGTGTCACAAATGTCACCTCATTTCAACCTCACCTCTGCAAGGGTCATGTTGTCTCCATTTGAAGAGGTGAAGAATTTGAGGTGACAGTAAGAGGTGAGCTGAGCCTCTTTTGTCTCTGAGACTAGCCCAGCCTCTCTGCCCCATCATCTTGACATCTTGAAGCTACTACATACCTTTATAATTCAGACCACAAGTATTGTATGGGATTCTCTGAATTCCCATCCAGGGTGATTCTTCTTTCTGGTATTGGGGAAGAAAACCCAGAACCTCATTCGTGTTAGGTAAACACTTTACCACCAAGCTATAGCAACCCCCACCCCCCAGCTTAGAGGTTTCCCCAACTATTGCTTGAACATGTACCAAATTGCAGCAGAGAATTGCAAGGACCCAGGTATGGTGTGCATTTGCTCTCCACCAATCCAAGGAGTCCTGGGAAAATCTGAGTGGTGGCTGGGGGAGAGGAGATGTGTCAGAAACACTCAGAGAGATGCTGTTGCTTCCTAGGAGACTCTCCACGGAAGAAGCGACGAGGTGGGCAGATTCCTTTGACGTGCTCCTCTCTCATAAGTGTAAGTAGAAATCAGGTCACATGGCATTGGAGCAAATCATCCATGTGGCAAAAGATGTAGCGAACACTTTCTAGGCTCGGGACACTGTGCTAGAACCCAGCCCTCTATGATCCTGTGCCCAGCACGAGGAGCAGAGAGACAAGAAGACAGGAATTTTTAAAATTAAGTAATCACATTTTCTTTTGGAGACTTGGTTTCTTTGTGTAGCCCTGGCTGTTCTGGAACAAGCTCTGTAGACCAGGTTGGCCTCGAACTCACAGAGATCCAGCTGCCTCTGCCTTCCCAGTGCTGGGATTAAAGGTTTGTGCCACTGCCGCATAGCTGAAAACAGGCATTTTAAATGTAGTGGGGTTAGACCCTTCTTTCCTGTTTTTTGTATTCAAACCATACTCCCAAGAAGCCCAAGGTTCTCAGTCATTACATTGTATTACATTATATTACATGATTGATTTATGAGATCTGTGCTCTCATTGTTGCCTCACCTTCGTTAATAGATGTTTGGGTAGGCATGGTAGAGTCCCCTGGTTTTTAGCAGATGCCATTAAACAAGACTTCGTTTTTGTTTTGTTCTTTTGGTTTTTTGAGGCAGGGATTCTCTGTGGCTTTGGAGGCTGTCCTAGAACTAGCTCTTGTAGACCAGCCTGGTCTCAAACTCACAGAGATCCGCCTGCCTCTGCCTCCTGAGTGCTAGGATTAAAGGCGTGTGCTACCACCGCCCAGAATGGCTTTGTTTTTCTAGGGTTGGGAAGGTAGCTCAATGGTTGAGTACTTGCTTAGCATGTGTGAGTCTCTGGGTTCAATCCTCTTTATTCGTCTTCTTGAGATTGGGTGTTTTGTAGCTTACACTGGCCTTAAACATGCTATAAAGCCAAGGATGGCCTTGAACACGGGTTTTCTCCTGTTTCTACCTTCCACCTCCCAAATACCAGGATCATAGGCCTTATCTCACTGTGGCTGTCTGCTCAGCAATGTTAATAAGATAGAATTCAGTTTAGGTAATGGAAGTTAAGGACTGACTGGAATGAGAAGGTCTAGGTTCCAGGCTAGGTCTCATAAAAGGGAATGACCTCCATCCCCCAAGTCACTGGGCTACTTAGTCAAATGGGTATTGTGTGTATTTTAGCAATCCCTTGGATTGACAGTATTTCATTCTTTATCTCGAGGGATAACTATCTCAGCTGCATTGCACCCCCACTTCCTGGCTCGAACACCCCTTTGCCCTCCCTCCTCTTCTATTTCCTCCCTGCTCAGCTGTTGTGTCTTTTGTTTCCTACAAAGGAAGAGTTGTGCATATTGCAGTGTTTAGAGGGCAGTTTATCATTAGTCAAACTTTTCAGCTCTTTTTTTTTTCTCATCACAAACAAGTCCAAATTTGTTGGGCTTTGAAATCCCTGTGGCATTAAGCACATGGAAGCGGCAGAGCAGGGGCGGGAAGCAGAGGGGGTGTTCTGAGGAGACAGGAAGGTTGCAGACAGACATTCGGTGTTCCTCCTCGATTCGTCATGCCAGTGTGAGATCTGGGAGCAGAAGGGCTGCTTGCATTTTGCTGTGTTGTTCCTATTTAATTGGGGAATGCAGTTTTGAACAATTAAATTGAAGGCTGTGAGTGGGGTTCAGATCTGTGCTCTCACTGTTGACTGGTCTTGGTTATTGGATACTTGGGTAGGCATGGTAGAGTCCCTTGGTTTTTAGCACATGCCATTAAAAGTGACTTTACTTGACCAGGTCTGGGAAGGTGGCTCAGTGGTTCAGTACTTGCCTAGCATGTGTGAGGCTCCAGGTTTAATTGTTAGCACTCCATCATCACCATCACCATCACCAACCATCACCATCATCACCATCATCATCATCATCATCATCACCACCATCATCCAAAAGCAAGAAGTGATTTTGCTTTTAATTTGATGAAGTGACTTCCTCCGACTTTGCCTCTTGTTCTTAATAAGCAAATCAACAAATACTTTGAGTGTATGTGTGTGGAGGGTACAAGCAAGTATGCATTTGTGTTGTGTGTGAACCTGTGTGCACATTTATGGCTGTGTGAGGAGGACAGAGGTTGCTGTCAGGTGTCTTCTTCTATCACTCTCCATGCTATTTATTTATTTAGTGTGGGGGTGGGGTGGGGGTGAGGGGTGTATGGGCTCATGCATGCCTCAGTGCACCTGTTGAAGACAGCAGATAACTTTTAGAAGTTGCTTCTCTGCCTCAACCATGAGGGTCCCGAGTGCTGAATTTAGGTGTCAGGCTTGGTTGCAAATGCCCTTACTTGCTGAGCCTTCTTGCCACCTATCTACTCTATTTTATTGAGATGGCCTTTCAGTAAACTTGGGGCCTCCCAATCATGCCAATGAGATCCTTCCATTCTCTACTTTCCCAGGAGCATACCTTCACACACCTTTTTATGGGGCTGCTGTGGGTCCAAATCCAGGTCCTCATCGTGGCACAGCAAGCGCCTTTCCAAAGGAGCCATCTCTCCAGCTGAACAAATGCTTTTGATTAGATTTTAAAAAGAGCTGCAATATCTAAGAATAAGTGCATACTATAAAAAATTTGTGACTTTGGTATAATTCGTGTGGGTATATAGCATATGTACCATACAGCCATACTCCGATAGCAAGCTCACACAGTGAATTTGCCAAGGTAGGGGCATAGATATGCTGTTTAGAGTTAGATGATAATGCTTTTCTAAAAACCAGGTTATTGACTATTTTTCGGGAGTCAACATTCTGCGGAATGAATGTCACTGCCGTTTTACATCTTCTGGCTGGCTTTGATTCAAGGTCTCGTCCTAAAGTTTGGTTTCTATTTCAGCCTCACACTGATTCCCTCAGTTCAGGTCCCTGAGGCTGTTTCCTCATTCTAAAACGGGGTTAGAGATGCCTGCCTGCTGGCTATCCACTTGCAGACTGGAAACTAAGCAAGTAGAGACATGCAGAACTCTGGGCTCTCTACTCAGATGTGGTGTAACAACACCACGGGTTCTTTTGTGATGATACATTTATTTATTAAATGCAAACATGAATGCCTCAACAGTGATTTTGTATCCGATAATTAACACTGAGTCAGTGTGAGACCTAGAGATTCAGTTTTCTCTGCTTGAGTCGGTGACTCTTGGATCTGCAGCCTACTGGTCCTCCAGTCATGGGAGTGTTTCCCGGAATGCTTAAACAGGTCCCTAACACGGGGATCCCAGGACGGGTCACAGCTGGCACCAGTTTGCTACTTTGTCAAAGTACTACAGAAAGCAGGCTTTCTGAAGTGTGAAGTTCTTTCATCGTTCTTGCAGTCTGAGTTCTGTTTTTATTTCTGTATAGTATAGAAATAAAGAGTCAGTGGTATGAGAGTTCCTAGGAAAAAAGGTCAAGCTTTTAGGATTTGGATATCTATTCCCCTGTGAAGGCTGCAGAGAGCCCAGGCCATCTTAAAAGATGCTGACTACATTCTAAAAGTTGAATTAATTTGTCTTGGTATAGTGACTCAATCAGAGCTGATTAAACTTCTCCATTGGGATTTCACACATGCCTGTCCCCAGCAGCACTCATGGGACATCTGCAGAGCTTCCGATTAAGACGCATGATATTCCGTGGATTAAAGAGTACAGAATTCCTGAATGACTGGGACCCAGAACCATGGGTGTTAGTCTAGAACCCACTCCTCTGTTGTTCTTCACACCGAGGTATCTGTCCCCCCCGGTTTTTTTCCCCCCGTGGAATCAGGTAATCATTTTTTCCCATCCCCGACCTCTGGAACATCTTTGCTACCCTTGATCTGTTGTTCTGGACACTTATTTAATTATTTCCCAAAAATGAGCTGGTTTATCATGCATACACTCTGTGCAGCGAGGAGGGAGCACAGGTGAAGAAGACCATGGTCTGTCTTCGATACGGAATGAAGGACATAGAGAAGTCAGGGTGCTCACAGATAACCCAAGGAAAAAACTAGTGTTCTCATCACACAGCAGGTAGCCTCAGGATTGCCAACAGAATTCTGGCTTTCAGAGCTGCTCTTAAATTCTGTCTCATCAGTGTCAGACGTCCTATTGGTCTAGAAGGATAGTTCCAGCTGTCAGGGACCAGGCTTTTGGATGTTTAAATGCAGAATACTAGTTGGCAGTGAGCTCTATGGGCCTGATTTTGTCCCCCATTTACTCCTGGATGCTTAGGTGACCTTCATGGAAACCTTGGCTATTTAGGAAGTCAGATTCCTCTCTTATCCAACAAAGGAGCTGGACTAGGGTGCTCTCTGGAGCAGACATGAGGCTAGGCTAGGTGACAGCCAATCACTTGTGACAGGAGGTTTGACTAAGCGCTGCCTGTATGGTTATGTAATAGTGATTTCCAACTGAAATGGCTCCAGCAACCAGAAGGGGGACCAAAGTACCTGTGTTCAGTCATTCTTCCCAACACTACACGGGCTCAAATCTCAGAGAAAAAAACTAAATAATAAAAAAGGTAACTTTACTATCTTCAAAATCCTAGAATCAAAACTTAAAAAAATCCAGGAGGAAAATATTTAGAGTAGTCGTATTTCCCATTGTATTTGTTTACAAATGAGTGCAGAAGAAAAGCTCTCATGGAGGCCTGAGAGGTAATCACTTGCTAAGTGCTTTTCTTAGAAACTAACAAACACAACTGAAATTGACATTGCTGATGGCTTCATTAGCTAGAAGGATGTCTAATATGTGCTAATTTGGAAGCTTTTCCCTGTTCAACCAATTACAATTAGACTCGATATCTGAATTGTGCATGTAGTCTGCCCTGAAGGGAGATGCGAGCGTGAGTGTGCACGTGTCTGCATGTGTGTTTGTGCATGCGTGCACATGTGCCTGCGCGTGCCTGTGTGTTTACATGCCCAGAAGCCTTACTGCTCTGAAGCTTATATACCCAACAGAACCAAGCCTCCTAGTTTGTGGGAGATCTATTCTGCTAGGCAGCTGGAAGACAGGAAAAAACTGTTCTTATCTTTTGCTTTATTTTTCATGAAGTTCAGGCATGTGCTTG